CTCAAACCCAGACCTGGGACCCAGACCCCACAGCCAGGACCCCAAACCCAAATCCAGGACCCCAAACCCAGACCTGGGACCCAGACCCCACAGCCAGGATTCCCCATCGAGGATGAGCACGGGACCCCAAACCCAAATCCAGGACCCCAAGCCCAGCCCCCCGGGACCCCCCGAGCCCCTCACTCACTGTCCCGGGCCAGGACGGTGACGCTGACCCCGGGGTCGTTGAGTTTGATGAAGGGGGGGCTCCCCCCGGCCGTGTCCCCCTCCCGGGCCAGCAGCACCTTCTTAGCGGAGACGTTCCCGTGCGGGATTTTCTTGTCCTCCTGGATCGGGGGCAAGAGGGATCGGGACCCTCAGGGTGGTCCCAGGTGCTGGGCTGGGCTGGGGGGGGCACCAAGGATGGGTGGGAGCCGTGGGAGATGGATTGGGAGCTGTGGGGTGGGGATCTGTGGGATCCGTGGGATCTGTGGGATTGGGATGTGTGGGATCCATGGGATCTGTGAGATATGGGGTGTGGAATCTGTGGGATCCATGGGATTGGGATGGGTGGGATCCATGGCACATGGACACGAGGGATCCATGGGATCCGGATGTGTGGGATCCATGGGACCCATGGGATCCATGGGATCGGGATGTGTGGGATCCACGGGATCGGGATGTGTGGGATCCATGGGATCCACGGGATCCGTGGGATTTGTGGGATCTGTGGGATCCATGGGATCCATGGGATTGGGATGTGTGGGATCCGTGGGATCCATGGGATCGGGATGTGTGGGATCCATGGAATCCATGGGATCCGTGGGATCAGGATGTGTGGGATCCACAGCACACGGACACGAGGAATTCCCGTTGTGCCTCTGCTGCATCCCCCGGGGCACCTGGATCCCGGAGATCCACGGGATAAATCCACAGGATAAATCCACGGGATAAATCCATGGGATAAATCCATGGGATAAATCCAAGGGATAAATCCGTGGGATGAATCCGCGGGATGAATCCGCGGGATGAATCCACGGGATAAATCCGTGGGATGAATCCGCGGGATGAATCCACAGGATAAATCCACAGGATAAATCCACAGGATAAATCCACAGGATGAATCCACGGGATGAATCCATGGGATGAATCCACGGGATAAATCCACGGGATGAATCCATGGGATAAATCCACGGGATAAATCCATGGGATAAATCCACGGGATAAATCCACAGGATAAATCCACGGGATAAATCCACGGGATGAATCCACGGGATAAATCCACGGGATAAATCCATGGGATGAATCCACAGGATAAATCCACGGGATAAATCCACAGGATGAATCCACGGGATAAATCCACGGGATGAATCCACAGGATAAATCCACGGGATGAATCTATGGGATAAATCCACGGGATAAATCCACAGGATGAATCCACGGGATGAATCCATGGGATGAATCCACAGGATAAATCCACGGGATGAATCCATGGGATGAATCCACGGGATGAATCCGCGGGATGAATCCGCGGGATGAATCCACAGGATGAATCCACAGGATAAATCCGCGGGATGAATCCATGGGATAAATCCACGGGATGAATCTATGGGATAAATCCACGGGATGAATCTATGGGATAAATCCACAGGATGAATCCACGGGATGAATCCACGGGATAAATCCACAGGATGAATCCACGGGATAAATCCACAGGATAAATCCACGGGATAAATCCACGGGATAAATCCACAGGATAAATCCACAGGATAAATCCACGGGATGAATCCACGGGATGAATCCACGGGATAAATCCACAGGATGAATCCACGGGATGAATCCACGGGATGAATCCACGGGATGAATCCCCTGGAGCTCACCAGGTAGTTGAGGGCGTAGGCCAGCTGCTTGGCCACCGCCAGTTTCCAGCCCGTGGCCACCGCGCCGCGCCTCTGCCGCAGGTACAGGTCCAGGGGCCCGTGCGGGACGTGCTCCTGCACCATCACACCTGGGGACAGGGGGACACGGGGGACACGGGGGACAG